AAACAGTCTGGTGGTGTCACAACTTGTCTTGTCGTTTTACAAGATTTTATTGACAATGTCTTTAATGGAAAATTCCTGCTATGAACATATTATGATTATATACTATCTATTATTATTATGATATAATGATTTATGCTAAACAACATCAAAGGGGTATAGCGCCATCTACCGTCCAAATTGTTATTCATTTTGTTGTTTATAATTATTTTATATAATAATTACACATAATTATCAACACTTTCATTTGGATAGTAATTTCAACCAATGGTTGGTATCCCAAAATCTTGAAATATTGCAATTAATAGCATTGAAATTATTAATTATGTTAATGTAATTATTATATTAAAAAACATTGAAAAACTGATTTCACAGTATGCACAGACAAACTGTACACTGCAGACGTATATGTCAAGACGCATTGTTTGGGTTTGCTTGATACAATGTATAACAATCACCATTTATCATGAATACCACTAGCTTTGCCGCCGTCCAATATGGCCTCAACAAAACTATCTGCGTTTTCACGATTGTTTTTTATTATCCTGCGGGTAACAAGCATCTGAAAATCAGGTTTCCACACAAGAAGCTACTATTTCGGCAGATACGATCGATAGATATATGATATCCAGGGCTCGGAAATTTCAGAGGCGAATCTCGGTAATGCGTAGGGGTAAATTACCCTACAGATTTGTTACGGAGTTTAAATAATTTTCATGAGGAAACCTGAAGGAACATTCTGTACGCGGGATTACTTAAAAAAGAACTTGGCCGTTAACAGTGCTCCTTCACCTCAGCCCAACTTCTAAGTCAATTTTGGGCATAAACACTCATTAAATGTCAAAGGCAGCAGACACAGAGTGCTGTGGTGGCAAGCATACAGCATTTTCATCAACCATGACAAAATCTGCTACAATAAATATCGCCTGAGCTCCAAACGCTAAAATACCAATGCTTTAACTTTAAGGTATTTTATTCAGGAGGGTGTCCTGCATTCAATTTTTTTCTTTCATAGTAATCAATTTAGCCTTACCTGTACGGATTACTTAAAGATTTTGAGCGGATTTTGCCTCATTTGTTGAAGGAACAAATCCGATAGCGAGATTAGTTCTCAAACTGGGGGAAATTCGAGCCTGGATATCGCCTAATTCGACCCTGGCTTTTTCAAGTAGGCCTCTACCATGAAATGCTTTGTGCAAATGTGCACATATATGCTTGCATTGCTGTCTGTAAACATATCTTATCCTGCTACTGGTTGGCTCTGAAAGGGTGTTTACCCTATATCTTTACAGAGTCCCTAGCTTGGATTTTTTTTTCCTGTAGCCAAACAATTGGCCAGAATCATTTTTTTCATTTATAGGCAATGTTGGATTCCTGTTAGCCACATTTGTAGCCTAACATTATTTCTGAACACAAAAGGCGAATAAATAGATTTTTATTTTTTTTCACGAACTTCATTATATGCATGAAGTACAAAAACTATTATTCACCACCTGTCTAGTGACTGATACAACTAACACTATGATTCACCACCATTAGACTCTGACTGACTGACAAGCAGACATTCAAATTGTCTGATTTTTTTCTTCGCACTGCTGCAGTAAAAATTCTTCTATCTTTTTTTTGCACACCACTGGACATAGCACTTTTCAAATGTCAACATCTCTTTTTCTGCGGCCTTCAAGTTTGATGGTATAGAATGTCACAAACACTCTGTTTTACCAAGACGCTGTTAGGTACAAAATGCATTTGACTTTTGCCAGGCCCGTTTGCCGTGCCTGTGTGGTGGAGTACAGGTCTATTTTTAAACAACCAGGTTTCTTTCTGATGGGAAATTAAGACAACGGTGGAATAATGCCCAGTTTGGGGGAAAACGCACATGATGGCATTCAAAGGGACGGGGAGAGAGGTAGAGGGGGTTCCAGGCGTTCTCCCACGGATGAAATTCAAACGGGGGGGGGGGGGAAACTAGGGGGGTCCGGGGGGCGTGTATTTTTTACCGTACCACTAATTAAATGCGTAAAATCGCCACCACACCATAAGCCGGTATTTGGGGTTCTTGTATATATCAAGATAGCCGAGTCGTTGACAGTAGTGTTGAGTTTCGGAACAGGTTAACTGTTTGTACTGTCTGCAGGTGGCATGGGTGGTACGGTAAAAATACACGCGTCGGTGGCTGGTCGAAGTGGAACTCTTGACGTTCGATTGTCGCGCTGGCAAACTTTTATTGTGGTGGAATTTAATCGGGGCGGAGGTAATTTAAACGGGGGCGCAACGATTGAAACAGGGGGAGTTTTCCAGACGGGGGCGCGCGCGCCCCGTTTGCGCAACGTAGGTAGAACCCTGGGTTCTGGCGTTCTCCCCCAGCAAATTTAAAACATTTGAAATGTCTTGCGACTGCATTTGAATGCCACCCCGAAAATAAAATTTCTCCCTTTAGTTTAAATCTTACTCTGCTAGGCAGACCTACTAAGTCTCACGCTGCCGCATTTTCGCGGGAGAGCACACCATCTGGACCATTCTCTCCCGCATTCACGCCAAAGGGAAAAAACGACGAAAAAAGCAGTCCGCTACACCCCTGTTTACCCACGTCTGTGGCGCTGTGCACATCGTGGCTCGTGGGGCTAGGGGGGCAGCATTGATTGAAGTACGGGGGGGGGGGCGAATGCACTCGATTGTTACAGTCGCGTGGGTGTGGTTATTTCTGTATATGTAGGGGTGGGCAACCCGCTGGTATGAGGGAGCGACAGCAAAACTTTCCTGAAATCGAGGAAAAGGCTGCAATCAGGAATGACACAGGAGTGTGCCGGCACGCAAAAAGAAACGTTGCTGTTTCGACGATCAAATATGATCGATGTTTGCTGTGTCATGTTTATTACGGGAAAAGTACGTTTGTCACTTTTTTCGCCAAATAAGACTCAATTGCCAGATTACTAATTTGTTCGCCATTGGCGAATTGGCGAGTGGGTAGCGAGGGCCCTGCGTTATAATGTCACTGCCCATTAGTTTAAATATTTAATGGGATTGTAGACGTTTATGCTAATGTATTCAATTGTTTTCATTACATGTTCATTCCTTTTTGTGTTATCAGGTGGTAAATATGTGCCCAGGGCCATCCTTGTTGATCTGGAGCCAGGCACAATGGACTCTGTACGATCGGGACCATTTGGACAAATCTTCAGACCTGACAACTTTGTATTTGGTAAGTAATGATGGTTTTCATTTCATATTAGGCCAAAACAAAATATGTGTGGTTACCGTTACATGCCGGAAAAAAATAGGGTAGGTAGGTAGGGAAAACATCTTATTTTCTTGAAATATTTTATTTATGAACCATGTCCGAAGGATGTGCGAAACTGTCCAATTGATATATATATATTTTTTTAACTTTAAAGAAAATTGACAATAAAATGTATAGGGTCGGTCGGGAAACCGTAACCACACCTATATTTTGTTTTGGCTTTACTAAATGAGTATCATATACCGGTATTGATTGTATCTGTTGTGTAGTTTATTAATTACAGATTGTCTACAATTTTTTATTCACGAAAACACTTCCAGACTAGTTTATATCTCACGGTATGGTCTCTTGCTGTTCTATAGGACAGAGTGGTGCAGGAAACAACTGGGCGAAGGGTCACTACACAGAGGGAGCAGAGCTGGTCGACTCTGTTCTTGATGTCGTGAGGAAAGAAGCAGAGAGCTGCGACTGCCTGCAGGGATTCCAGCTTACCCACTCTCTGGGAGGAGGCACTGGCTCCGGCATGGGCACTCTTCTCATCTCAAAGATCAGAGAGGAGTATCCTGACAGAATCATGAACACATTCTCTGTTGTCCCATCACCAAAGGTGAGCAACAATAGAATTATGTCCATTTGTTGTTGGTTTTCATTAACCTTTGTCTAAAATTGACATGCTCGTTTTTGTAACTTTGTTAAATAGTGTGTATCCTGCCTGGGTGTTAACACCGAATTTCTTCACAGGTTTCGGACACAGTAGTTGAGCCCTACAACGCCACACTCTCAGTACATCAGTTGGTAGAGAACACAGACGAGACGTTCTGCATTGACAATGAAGCTCTTTACGACATCTGCTTCCGCACACTCAAGCTGACTACACCGACATACGGCGACCTAAACCATCTAGTATCTGTCACGATGTCGGGCGTTACAACGTGCCTGCGATTTCCAGGACAGCTGAACGCTGACTTGCGAAAGCTTGCCGTCAACATGGTGCCCTTCCCCCGCTTGCATTTCTTCATGCCCGGCTTTGCACCTCTCACCAGTCGAGGCAGCTCACAATACAGGGCCCTGACGGTTCCCGAGCTCACCCAGCAGATGTTCGACGCCAAGAACATGATGGCAGCCTGCGATCCGCGCCACGGCCGCTACTTGACGGTCGCAGCGATGTTCCGCGGCCGCATGTCGATGAAGGAGGTCGACGAACAGATGCTGAATGTGCAAAACAAGAACAGCAGCTACTTCGTCGAGTGGATCCCGAACAACGTGAAGACCGCCGTCTGCGACATTCCACCCCGCGGCCTGAAGATGTCGGCCACCTTCATCGGTAACTCCACTGCCATCCAGGAGCTGTTCAAGCGCATCTCCGAGCAGTTCACCGCTATGTTCCGCCGCAAGGCTTTCCTCCACTGGTACACCGGCGAGGGCATGGATGAGATGGAGTTCACCGAGGCAGAGTCTAACATGAACGACCT